GTCTAGTGGAGAGGGATCCAGTTCCTGAATTGCAAGTAGAGTAGACTGGAAGTATTAAGTCCCTGATGAATTGTTTTAGAATTGCTGAGTTCGAGTTGCCAGGAAGATTTCCAAGACAGAGACGGAAGTCCTAAGGGCACAGAGGAGCTGAAAACTGAGCACTGAATACTGGGAAATATCACACGTATCAACCTTCAAAAGTAATCGCACCATCACTGCCCTCCTATAAAATACCTTACATTCTTAAGAGAGAAGCACTCGTGATACTAATTCACAAAATCGTTTTATGGAAAATTTCTAACACAATCCTGAAAACAATACAGGTTAAAAAAAAAAACACCGGAATCAAGGAAGTTAAAGAAAAAAGTACGTCTTCACTGCATTGGCAGTTACCAAAATAATAAAAATTTAACCTCTCTGCCTGTTGGAGAAGTCCTTGCTTAAAACATTTAAACATTAAAACATTTCATTTCAATAAACGTAGCATGTTGCCTCAACTGCAAGGCTGCCTGCAGTCTACTGCTCTCCCGCCCGACCTGCGTCTAGTTCAGTCAGCTCTCGCTGGGAATAAAAAGGAGAACAGGCAGGTCCGTTTTGGCTCTGAGGTTTCCATTTCCACTAACTGCCGAGACCCCACTCTCTGCGCACGAATATGAATATTCAACACCCTGTCCCAGGGCGCGCGCCGACCGGGGACCCACAAGCCCCCGCGCGCGGGGACCCGGCAACGCGGCTCGGCGTGCGGCAAGGCCACCGCGCACCCGGATACCCTGGGCCCGGCGGCGGGCGAGGCAGCTGAGCTCGCCGCCGACGGGCGCTTCGCAGGCCGATAGTGCGGGGCAGGGGCCTGACACTGGGACGCTGGGCCTCAGGACCCCGGGGAGAAAGTGGGGGCGGACCAGAGAGGACGCAGACTCCAGTCACCACCGCCTTAGAGGCAACAGCGTAGCGCCTCCGCGCCGCACAGCCTGTCGGGAGCCGCCCCTCCCGCTGGTCAACGGGCGGGAAGGAGGACATTTCCGGCGTTTTGATTGTCTTTACGGAAGGGGTGGAGCTACCTGATCTCGGCCTTCTCGATCGGCGGGGGCAGGACGAGTGACAGTCCTCAGTCCTTCGGCCCGCGCTAAGCTCCGCCCCTGCGCCGGAAGGAGGCGGGCGGGAGGTCACGTGACGCCAGGGCTGGCGGAGGAGAAAGGGGCGGGGCCTCCTCGGGTCACGTGCGGCAGGAAGTGGCGCTTGCTGTGGAGTTTTCGAGATGGGGACCTCCTTGGACATCAAGATTAAAAGAGCGAATAAGGTTTATCACGCCGGGGTAAGTGGAGTGGGCGGGCCTGCAGGTTTTGTCACTTCCAGGACCTCACTCACTCTGGGTGTCCCTGGGCGGGGCAGGGGCGTCTCCCCCAGGTGCGTCGTCCACGCGGACGGCTGCCCTACCGAGACGCCCCCGCTACCGAGACGCCCCCCCTACCGAGACGCCCCCAACGGAGTCGCCCTGTGTTCGGAGTCTTGTGGGCTTAGGGTCCGCAACCGGAACTGCAGCCCCATCCGCCTGAACATCCGGCTCCGGCTCGGGTCCCGGGCTTGAGCTGTGACAGTGAGCACCGAGGGCGGAGGAGCTCGGTAACCAAGCGACCCGTTCTCTCAATCCTAAGGTGACTGCAAAGCTCTAATGAATGAAAGGCAGAATTCACCTTCAGAACGGAAAGAGATTTCAGGCCTGCTCAGCGCTAGCACTATATAAAAGTTTCTCATATCTCAGGTTTTATTCTTTGAATAACACACAGAAGGAATGGCATATTAAATTGCAGGCCCTCCAAAAAAAAAAATCTTAACTATACCATGAACAGGTTTTGTGCCACTGGCTACTTAACCTCCTCAGGCCTCAGTTCCCTTATTTGCAAAGTGAATCTTACTCTATCAGAATCAGTCATCCTGGGGAATTTAAAAATATGATTGTCCCGGTCTCATCCATAGAGAACTGATTTTAATGTGCAGCCAGGGTTGAAATCACAGTTTGCTCTCACACTCTGGAATAAAATGAGAGTAGTGGTTAGTCACATGAATGCAGCTTGGTTTCAAAAGAGATAGACTACCAGGCAGAGACCATGAATGTATGCTAAAAGCTTTGGGTGCAAAATAATTGGGGAAACCTGATGTTTACACAGACTCAAATTGTCACCTTAATTGCAAAGAGAGGAAGCTGTCTTTAAAGTAGAGGAATCTGTGTCTACAGCCATGCTACCCTGAACACAGCCGTCTGATCTCGGAAGCTAAGCAGGGTGGGGTCTGGTTAGTACTTGGATGGGAGACCATCTAGGAAGACTGGGTGCTGTAGGTGTAAAAAAAAAAGATAAAATGGAGGAATCTGGTAGTCCCCACCCTAACCAAGACCAAGGTGAAGATCACCTTCCCATCACCACTAATGAGATTGACATGTTCTGGCATCATAATAGAGGGTTCTGGCATGGTACATTGAGAAGGATGCAGCTCAGCCTGTGCAGTATATCTGCCAAAAGTGTTTACCTAAATCAGTTCATAAGGAAACAATCAGGCATCCAATATTAGGGCCATTCTGTGAAATAATTGGACTGGCTCCTTAAAAAATGTCAATGTCATGAAAACAGGAATTTTTCTAGATTAAAAAAGACTAAAGGGGGATGATAATCAAATACAATGGATAATTTTGATAAATTCGAATATGGACTATTATATAATAGTTTTGTATTGGTGTTAAATTTCCCAAATGTGATATTTATATTTGGGTTATCTGGAAGAATTTTGACATATTTAAGAGTTAGGTTACACAATTATTAAATTTTAAATGGTCCAGACATAAATTGTGTGTATACACGCGTGCACTTCCACATGTGAGGAGAAAAAGCAGATGTGGCAAAATATTAATCATTGGTGACTAACTGAAAGCTATATGGGTCTACTTTGTGTTTTAAATAACATCTTTATTGAGATCTAATTCACATACTATAATATTCACCCTTTTAAAGTGTGAAATTTAGTGGTTTTACTATATTCACAGAGTTGTGGAATCATCACCATCTAATTTGAGAACATTTTTATCACCCTAAAAGAAACCCCGTACCCATTAGCAGCCGCTACTCCTCAGTCTCCCCTTCCTCTTAACCCTTGGCAATCACAATCTACTTTCTGTCTATGGATTCGCCTATTCTGGACATTCCAGATAAATGAAATCGTACAATATGTGGCGTTAGTGTCTGGCTTCTTTCACTTAGCATAATTGTTTTCAGTGTCTGTACATGTTGTAGCAGGAATCAGTTCCTCATTCCTTTTTAGGGCTGAATAATATTCCATTGTGTGGATAGACCACAGCTTATCCATTCATCTGTTGACATTTGGGTTGTTTCCACTTTTTGGCTATTGGGACTAATGCTGCTATGAACATTTTAGTACAAGTTTTTGTGTGACCATATGTTTTCATTTCTCTTGGATAGATACCAAGCAGTAGAATTGCCCGATGACATGGTAATTTCATTTTTAACTTTTTGAAGACCGAGTTTTCCAAAGCAACTGTAACACTTTGTACTCCACCACAGGGTATGATGCTTTCAGTTTCTCCTCTACTTTGTATTCTCATGATTTTTCTGTAGCTTGGAAATTTAAAATAAGAATTAGGGGAGGCAGTGACTGAAGACTATATACGTTTCGCTTTAATACTTATTTCATTAAAAAGTTAGCACATTCCGTTCAGAGATGTTACTCCAGTTGAGATGCTGAGATGTTTTCTGTGGTTTAAAATGTGGTACAAATAATGAAAAGTACATTTAGAAAAAAACGCAAGAAACGGAGTCATAAAGTTGACTCAGCCAGAAGTTTCACACAGCTAGGACCAGTCCCTGTGGGTGGCACAGCTGAAGTTGGTGTCAGCTGTGCCCATCTCGTGCACGTTTTTTCGGTGTCATTGTCAGGACCAGTTGTTGGCTTTGGAAGTGTTTCTCAGTCTTCGGTCGCTCCTACACTTCATGCATTTTACGCTAATGCAGTTACTGTACTAAATGCATTTTAAAAGGAGACTTTATATGGTGACTTATGGTGATCGTAAAAGAAAAACCGATATAACTTATGAATAGGTGGTTGCTATATTTTTTTAAGAAAGCCAGAAAAAGTTATTAAACAGATTAATCAGTTGACAGAAGTATACACGTGAACGTGTGTGTCTGTGTCTCATGTTAGACTCCATGATCTGTGATTCAGGATAGGTGGAGTACATGGTCAACAGTGTCACGGCTGCTTCCTAAGCTCCAGGTGGCAGGACCTTTGCTGTAGCCATTTCCTAAGGTCTCAGTGCCTTTGGACAGTGCGTGTTTCATGCACAATGATTGGCAAGGGGTGGCCTGTCCCACCCTTCCTTCTTGTAGCTGACTGTAGGCGGAAGTAATAACATAAAAGTTTTCAGTTTTCTCTGTACATCTCAACAGCACTGGTAACGATTCAGTTACTAAAGATTTGACTCATCGGTGGCAAGCACAGTACCTGTAATTCTCGTGGTTCGCTTGAGGTGGCTGCCACCTATGTTAGCCTGATCCTTAGGTGATATGTGTCATTCAGATGAGACGTGTTTGTCCGTGTAATCACATAAAGCAGTCTTATGCTCTGTTGGAGGTACTTGGCAAACACTGGTGTGGGGTTTTGTCGGCCAGGCAGCATCACTCCCATTTTACTAATGAGGAAACTGAGGCCTAGCCAGGTTGAGGAACTTGCCCAAGATCATCCAGCTAACGACAGACCCTGGATTTCAACGCAGGTCAGTCAGATTTCAAAGTGTGTCCATCATTATAACCCCTCCCTATTATACTGGCCATTTTTATGCAAAATGGAGGAATTTTTAAAGTAGAAATAGTTATTACTTTCCTAAAAGTGATGTAAATAGCTGTAATATTTCAATCTAAAAACCGCTGTGACTTCTCAGAAAATGTGCTGATTTTGTTACTGTGCTTTTCAGTCATAGTTGTTGTAGAAGCATTTGAAAATGACTTTGATTCTGTGGACACCACCGAGCCTAAGTTATGCTTGGGTTTAATATTGACATTTGGGTGTTTTCCTAGAAAAGAACACTCATTGAAAATTGATGCGTTTTTTTTTTTTTTTAAATCACAGTTGAATCATTTAAAAAATGGAAATATAATGCACGCCAAGTTAACAATTAAGCTTTTACATAAGGCTGGAATTGACAAGTCAGGTCCTCCTTCCTCTTGCCAACCCTCTTTTCTGTCCGGGGAGGTACCCACTGAACTTTGTGTCCTATTCCCGACATTTCCTCTGAATAACGGGTGTACATGTGCACGTGTGTGTGTGTGTGTGCGCGCGCGCGCGCGCACACACACACACACACACACACACAAGCTTGTTCTTTTTGCTTAACAGTATATCTTTCTTTGTCTTGGATACTTTTCCTTATCACATCTTCATCAGTCCCATTCTTAGATTGTTATTTAACCAAAACAAATTAATTCCGCCAATGTCTCTTGATCTTTTGAGGCCTAGTAGAGAGATAGGTAGGTAAATATGGAAAACAAAATGTGATAAACTATGTGTGGCATATGAAGGGCACAAGGCTGGGTATTGTCATCGCAGGGGAGAAGGCTCTTTGGGAGCTTTGTCGAGGCGCCGATGCTTGAACTAGTTTGAAATGTAAGTTTTCTCTGTACGTCTCAACATCTCAACAGCACTGGTAAAGATTCAGTCACTAAAGATCTAGCTCGTTGGTGGCAAGCACAGTACCTGAGGGCCCCTCCCACTGAGGCCGGAAACGTGACTTGTGTTTTCAAAGCCCTATAGATGGTATGAGATGATCAAGCATGTGATAGAAAGTCCCTAATTCCATATTTCCGGCAAAAGCGATGATTTCCCAAAAGAGGACTTAACTAATATTGTTCTATAGTAACGTAAACTAGCATAGCCCTTTGCAAGTCACAGTGCTTTAATCCTCACAGATGCCAAAGCGGTGGCATTTCCCTTCACTTTACGGTGAGAAGCCTGAGGCGCAGAGAATTCAATGACATGCCAAGGCACTGATAAGAGCGAATATTCGAAATTGCCTTTTTATTCCCAAATTCAGGACTCTGTGTGCCTTGTCTGGGTCTTAATTCTCATCTGTAGGATGGAGATGGTACCCACTCAAAGGGTTTGTTGTGTTTTAAGACACTTGTTATAAAGTACAAATTGCCAGTTATAAAAATAGTCCTGGGAATGTGAAGTACAGCACAGGGAATATAGCCAATAATCCTGTAATAACTACGTATGGTGCCAGGTGGGCACTAGGCTTAGCGGGGGGATCGC